AACTTTTAATCTGAAAATAACAGGAACTCGAAAGTTTTACAGATTACCGAAGACAGGTTCGCCTAGAACTTTCTGAAAAGTTTCCTAAAATTTCCACAATTTCCCATTTTTGCTGACTTGGAAATCTTCGCCTTTAAAAATGAGCGTTTCCGCACAAATGCACTTTCTCCTTGAAAAATGTATAACTTTAAGTCTGAAAATAACAGAAACTCGAAAGTTTTTCAGATTACAGAAGACAGGTTCGCCTCAAACTTTCTGAAAAGTTTCCTAAAATTCCCAAAAGTTCCGATTTTTGCTGATTTGGAAAACTTTGCCCTTCAAAATGAGCGTTTGCGCGCAAATGCACTTTCTCCTTGAAAAATACATAATTCTAAATCGGAAAATAACAGAAACTCGAAAGTTTCTCAGATTACAGAAAACAGGATCGCCTCGAACTTTCTGAAAAGTTTTCTAAAATTCCAACAACTTCCGATTTTTGCTGACTTGGAAATATTTGCCTTTAAAAATGAGCGTTTGCGCGCAAATGCACTTTCTCCTTGAAAAATACATTACTTTAAATCTGAAAACAAGAGGAACTCGAAAGTTTTACAGATTACAGAAGACAGGTTAGTCTCGAAGTTTCTGAAAAGTTTCCTAAAATTACCAAAACTTCCGATTTTTCCTGACTTGGAAGACTTTGCCTTAAAAGTGAGCGTTTTTGCGCAAATGCATGAACTCATTGCAAACATCGTCCCCTAAAATCGGATTCAAGTACCAACTTGAAAGTTTTACAGTCCATAGAAGACAGTTCAGTCTGAAAGTTGGCGAATCGCCGCAATTGCCGATTCTTGGGGCCTTGGAAAAGTTTGGCATGGACTATTTGGGGCAAATACGTGTTTTCATTGAAAAATTCATAACTGCAAATATTATACAAGCAGCAGCTGGAAACGTGGGCAGTGGATCGAGAAGAGCTGCACCTGTAAGTTCGGAAAAGCTCCTTAAAATTGCCCCAACTGCAAATTTTTGCAAACTTTGCCCCAAAAAGGGCGTTTTCGCGGAAATTTGCTTTCACTTTAGGAAACTGAAACTCTTAATCTGACACAAGTACCAACTTGCAAATTTCATTGTTTACAGACGAACGTTGGGCCTAAACTTCCTGAAAAGTTTTCTGAAATTTTAATCCTGGTGTGTTCTCCACCTTTAAATAAGGTGTTTTCGCGAACATTTTTCTTTAAAAATGCATAAGTTCACAGCCGAGGCAAGTAGCAGCTTGAAAGTTTCACAGTTCAACACTTGATAGCACTGAAGACACCCGAAACATTTTGTCCTCAAACAACTTGAAGATCGGGAATCCCCAAAGATTCCCGAAACTCCAGCACCAACAATGCGAAGTTTAGCACGACGAAGTTAATTTTAAAATTCAATCACGCTACCAAGTTGGGAGTTCGACGTGTCCCAGCTTCCAACAATAATCCGTTTTAGTAATGAAAATTGCGTTAGTTAAACTTGTCTTACAGGATGACGTGACGTGGGGGATTGTTGGACCCATCTAATATCCCCTGATAGGTCTTTAATGATTGTCTGCGGTCGTCGCAAAGAAAACCGCAAGTCCTTGTCGGGTGGCGTTAATGGGGTTAAATATTCAGTTCCTTTCCATTTGATGGGCTTCCACAAATAGACTGACGTTAATTTCAACTTAGAACTTATGTTTGGAGGCCGCAGACTAACTTTGAGTTCGGTAAATCTACCTTTAATATTTTGCACAAAGTGGGTCGCGATTTTCAAGATCACGATTTTCTAGACCCGATAAACCACAACGAAACTTTTCGTATTGCGATGGTTTTTGCTGAAATTTTAGGCCACATTTGCATACTTTTACATGTGAAGAAAACATCCAGAGCTTCTATTTTTGCAGTTGCCAAGAGGCGAGTCCACTGTTCTTTACTTCTTTAGTTGTAGGCAAAACTCCAGTTCCTGTTTGTTCTTTTACCCCATTCAGCAGAGATAACTCGCCAACTTAAACTGAACTTAAAAAACAATTAGTCCACTAATCACATCGGCACGAGAATTTTTCGCTCTAGTTTGCCCAGCCAACAAGGTAAAAAATTGCGCTCGTTCCAGACCCCGTTTGTGTATTTAAGCTCAGCAAATTGGGTGAATTTTGTGGAATCAAATAGAATGTTCTCCCGCGTATGCCAAATGGTCTAGTCCGCACAAACTTGGAATATTGATGCGCCCGAAGCCATCCAGACTTAGAGAAACGCAAATAGATTTTTAAACTCAGTTTTCGGGAACAAATGGAAGGAAAAGTGGAGAGTCTGGAGAAGAAGCTCGTGTATGAACTGGGATTTATTCGATCTCGATTCCCAGGCAGAAGTTCCAGGTCGTGTTTTATGCCACTGAAAAGGATTTTTCTGCGATTTTTCTTTGATCGCTCTGGAAAAATTAATTACGAAAAGAGAGTTCAGGGGATCTGAATGCGTTTTTTGGCGCTAATAGAGGACACATTTGTTTACCCAAGGAACTGTGGTTGAGTTGACAACAAGAGCAAACAGGAAAAGGCGAAAGAGAGGACAAAAGTGAGTGTTTTACAGCAAATAATTGAAAATGTTTTAACGCCAAACTAACTTTAATAGTTCGGACAAAACACGCCGAGAACATCAACCCATTCTCGCTTCGTTCGGGATTAATTTGATAACCACAGAAACTTTGTGGCCAGAAATAAGTGCTCAAGTTCCCGTTCTTAGTGACTACACACTTTCCAGCTCTTTGTAGTAAGGAACGACAGAAAATGTGGCCTTTTATGCATCGGCGTTCCAACCGGGCAAGAAAAATCGCCCACGAGGTCGCAGGTCCATTTCAATCCACGCGAGTCATGTATTCACCTCCAGCATCCGAAAATTGGCTGAATTTTAAAGGAGGGAACAAAACGCTTTCTGGGATGTAATAAATGGTCCTCTAAAGACACAGCTTGAATATTGATGTGGCCGCACAGGTCTATACATGCAGGGAATCCATGCTTAACATGTCTCATATAAATAGTTCAATTGGAAATCAAACGGGTTTCACTGGCACAGAAATCATTCTAAAAGAACCGAAAAATCGCCCCTTGAAACGCAAGAGATGGTAGTTAATGAAGGTTAATTAATGATAAAGATGAAAAAATCGTCAGGTTGTCAACATTAAAACGCGTCGGGACTACTTGTTTTCCCCAATTTACAAGATTGAAACTTGTTTGATTGAGCTTTGTTTTCTGCAATTTTCTCCCCTAATTATTATAGTCAAATGATAAGACGCCAAAAAGTCTGCAAAAACACCATCGAAAAACTTGGCAATTGCCGGTTTTTCTAAAAGGCCGGCTCTTAATTGGCGCTTCACTTCTACCAAAGGAATTTTGCGCCGAACGATCGAATGGTCCCAACCTGAAGGCAGCTCGATGTATTTACATTCGATTTCCCACAGAAAACGATCAGAGAAAACGTTTTTATAATCAAATTAAATGCCAAAGGAAAATATTATGGTTGGAAATTGCGCGCTTTCACAACTTGGGACTCGGTAAGCACAAGTTTAGGAAGCAGTAATTGATAGCAATCGCATCCATAAAGAGTATGACAATTTCCGGAGAAATTTGTTCTTTTGCCATTAATAATGGTATTTTCCCGATTTTTTTGTATAGGATTGGATTCAAACTTCGCTTTTGTGGCGTGCAAAAATTGTGAATGAATATGTGCGTTTAAACATTCAGCCGTTCGAAGGGCCATAAAATTAGGACCGGGATCCGAAACATGAGGGTGCGAGTTTTCCAACGGCGATTTTTCCACGCGATTTCGCATCCTGCTGAAAGCCTGCTGCTCTTTTGCAAGCCGTTATCAACCAATTCGTCTTGGCCGTTATCGGACCGAACATCACCGCCGAAAATCCCGAAATGCGAGCCAAACAAATACACGAAAGATAAGCAGGCAAAGTTTAAATTGTCCCGGTTTCAACGACCGAAATCGCGCTGTTCTGGCTATCTCGGTTTTGATCTTTAATTTTCACAATGGCTTAATTAAAAACAGCCGTTTCGTGCTTGGCCATCAGCAGCCGCAAGTAAAAAATTGGAACTCGAATCGGAAACGAACCTTTGAAAGTTTATCAAAAGAGATAGACTTTCGGGTTTTTAGGCCGTCGTTCGGTAGAATTTCCTGTTGACGTTTCGCAAGCACGAGTGGCTTGCATCTTCAGAAGTGGTTTGGGTTAGTTCTCATCAGAACTTCTCTCAGAACTTTCTTCTTCTCATCAGAGCCCGTTCAGTTCTGCGGAAGAACTGAACGGGCTCTGATGAGAAGAAGAAAGTTCTGAGAGAAGTTCTGATGAGAACTAACCCAAACCACTTCTGAAGATGCAAGCCACTCGTGCTTGCGAAACGTCAACAAGAAATTCTACCGAAAAACCGATTAGTTTCTTTGGGCTAAGCTGAAAGTCTGATTCAGGGGATTGTGTAGAATCCAAATAATATTATTTCTCTTTCAATTAATGGAAGAGGTATGGCGCAAGTGAATTAAGTAAGCATTTCAGACATTGGTGAAAATTTGCGAGAGAAATTAAAAGCGCCAGAGATTGAAGGAATCCAAGAGGCGAACAAAGAAACATTCCGATGCCAAGCAATTAGTGGAAAGGAAAGCATTGCAATCAAAATTGTTTGCTCAATTAAACGCTCGCTCAAACAGCAGCATTCCATGCTTCATATTTCAGCATTTTTGCCCCCTTTTGATTTGAGGGATAATAAGCAAAAAACACGCTGCCCCAGCAATGGAAATAATGGAAAAAATCGCTCTGGCTCCCTTCACTCATAATTGGCTTTGCCATTCAATGAGAAATGAACATCAGCTTTCATAAAATATCGAAACAAACATCAAAAACTAATAGACAATGGCTTGAATATTATGCTGCGAGCAGCCAGAGATTGGTTTTTCCATTACAGCGTTGGCGAGGTGAAGGCCGAACGCTCATTTCCATTGCTAGTTTTAACACTTTCTTACCAATTTCCAGATATTTCTGATGAACCGAATCGTACTCGTCCCAGAGGATGGAGCGGAACCTGTTCCGCTCTCTGGATGCAGCCAGAACAGAATCCTGCTTGTGATGTTCGTTGGGATTTCTGGAAAACAAAACAGCCCACTTTGAGTCTAAACGTCTACGTTCGGGCTTCTGGAAAATCCATCATGGAAATATGAAATATTATCCTGACCAATGATAAATTTTATCGGGCAAATGCAATTGAAACAGTTCACTTCCAGAAAAGAAATATGAGCCAGTCGGGCTATTTCAGAATGTACAGCCAAATAGATCGTTTATTCCAGGCTGACCTGCAGGTCGAACTACGGTGATCTCCAGACGGTTTCCAGAATGCTCGAGCACACTTTTGTGTGCCTTATTGCCCTTAAACGATAACGGTTTATTCGCAACTGAAAATACATGAATAAATAAAAGGAAAATTCAATTTTGCTGAAAACAACATAAACGAATTTTTTGGGTCTATTGAAATTTCCTATTAAACTGCGTTTTTTCACACTCTAAGCAGCGTATTTTCTCCATCGAGTGATAATATGGTTTGGGGATTTTTAGCTTTTTGTTGTCAAGTTTGTGAAAAACTAGGGTTTCAGCGGTCAATCGCCTCGCCTTGGCAACTGAAAACTCCCAAAAATTGCCCAAAAAAAGAGTTTTTCCTCACTTAAAGCGGCCGATTTTCTGTTTCCAGTGATGTTATAGACCGCATTCAGAAATTTTTGGTTTTCCCGTGCCGAATTTTTGAAACGCCATGTCAGTTGAATCGCCTTAGTAAATCTGATTCTTTTGGGAAAACGTGGCATTGATGATCCGCTTGATTTACCAGCGCAAACCAACTTGGCACCACTGCAGGGAGTATGAATACGAAGAAGGACAGCTTTAATTTACAATTGGGTCACAAATTTCCATATAATTTATGTGCAATTGAATATGCAATATCTAAATATTCTGGTATATGGAAAACTTGGGGACTACAAATCAATTACAAATAGAACCGATTCTTCTTAATCCCAAGCAAATTTTCTAGCATGACGTGGACACTCCCATCCATTAGAGTCACGCTAATCATGTTCATTCCAGTCGAGACTTTTTTAAGCAAAATCCTTCCAAACCGCCCGATGAAACTGATATGCAATTTGTTATTGCTGAAGAACCGTAAAACCCATAAGTCCAATTTATAACCGTCGGCCGAAGACAAATGATGGCTGGTCCGAGGACGGCGTCCAGCAGCGTCGGACGTTAAATTTTAAATAGTTAAGTGGCTCGGAAATTTGCTAAAAAATAGCTCGCCTAAATAATAATAACGTCGTTTTTCCCGTCGATGATTTATCGCTCAGCCTGGACACCACAAAGGGAATTGTTGGCGGCGTTTTCCACTGAAAAACCCAATGACAAATTGGTCAACGTACAAAGCATGAGTTGCTGTTATTGTTTGGTTCAAGTTTTGCTGGATTCAAACTGGGGCAGAAGGATGGAAGTTGCTAATTGCGCCAAGATAAAATAGTTACTTCCTACACCCTTCTCGCGTTAAAATGTCTTCTAGTGTAGCTAAAAAAATGCTTTAGGTATACCTGTTGGTTTATGTGCTTCAACTTTTTTTGGATGTATAAATCTATCGGCTTCGTCAACCCATGCTGTTAATTATGATTCAACCGCCAAACTCGCCACTAACAAGCGAAACTTCACAGAAACCCCTTAAGACAATATTATCAAAACAAGGCTAATAATATTCAAATTCATTCGCAGATAGCGCGGTAAAAAGGAAAGTTTAATCCCCTCAGAATAATAAAGAAGACAAAGTTAGCATAGTGGTTGCCTTATCGCTCTGCCAGAAGGAGATTTATTTCGACAGTGTAAAATAGCTCACACGAGGCATTTTAAATTCTCCGCCATTTCTTATGGTCGGCCGATTAACGGTAGTATCAACTACTGAAGCCCCGTAAAAAAATCAAGTTTCACTGCTCGAAGGAGCAGGGTTGATAACATATAGGAGGCAATAGAAAAGCTTGAAGGTGAAGAGTTTCTTGTCGACATCGACTTTCCAATTTTCCCAGTATAAGATGACCGAATTGAACGGACAGGAAGGCACGTAGTGGACAAACAAAGAAGAGCCAGGCCAAAGCAAACAGAGTGTCCTTCTTGAACGTGCGCTGCACATTATTTTACTGTTTGCCATTGGTGGCTTTATTGGAAACAAGAGGACACAATGGGAGAAACTGGGGAACGAAAATAGGACGCCGACGTTGACAATGCGGCACAGCGATTTTGTCTTGTGCAAATAATCGCCTTTTACTCTTTTTTCAAGTATAGGAGACAAAGGAGTCAACTTTCACCAGAGGAACATCGGCAACTGCCGGGAATCAACACGAAATTAATGAAATGTCTTGCGATAAAGCTGTTGGGTGATTGACGATTTTTTCGGGCTACTGTGAAAATCAACTCTTTTTGGACAGTTCTTTGCCCGAAACACGAGAATAACCGGAAAAAATTACGTTGAAAAGCAGCAAATAATATAATTCTTAACAGTCATCGCTTCGTCGCACTTTATGCATGAAGAGAACCTTCTGACTGCCAGGTGGACCAATGAAGGTTCAAGCGAAGAAACTTTTGAGTGGTAGGAGAAACAGACCAGCAGAAGGAGCTATCGACCCGACCATTTAAACACCAAAATGCATCAAAGTATCTAGAACTGGAAGAATCGACAAAAGTCTTGTAGAGTTCGACGGTTGCAAAGGTCTAAAGTGTCTTTGCATATGCATTTAACCCAAATAAGAATAGGACAAGATAAGTGTAGAAGAAAGGAAATAACGCTTTGGTGCCGACGCTTAACGACGGAGGACCTGAAGAATTCTTCCAGAATGAATGAGAGAAGGAAGAATCATTCCCTTAATCAAAATCATTCGATGGATTAATCAGAAAGCATCAACCTTCATTTGAAAAAAACTGTAAATATTTCCATAGAAAACACTTACCCGCTTCTGGCAAAATTGGCAATGAAAATGATGAAAGATTCCGACAGGGCGAGTTCAGCTCGGGTGTAGTTTCTCGGAAAGTGATTGAACCCATCAACCAAAGGAGCTCCAAACATGTAGGGCAGTTCTTCTCCATGGACGGTGCCCATTCTCTGAAATCAATCGAAAAATGTACTTAGAATCTTGGATTTTCAACACTCAACTATGAGGTTCGGGTGGAAAGCGGCTAAAATGCTTCCAGTAATTGTCCCTGTATGAGATTTCTCGGGACACAGTCAAGATCCGCCAATATTGATCCGGTCGTTATCTTAAGTCCTTGAGTTTCAAAGCGTCTATTAATCTTTCGTGACTTTATGTAAGGGAACATTTATCATATGGAAGACGTTTATTCGGTAAACTCGAATATATGTGTTTGTTCCGATACGACATAGTAAAAGCCCTGTCTTTAAACTGTGCACAAGGACTTCGTCAGTGAGCGAAGTATGAGAATTGATTGAATCTTGACGAGGATTTTAGCGGTTACCTCAAAAGAAAACTCAGTTTTAACAGGGAAAACTAAGAATTCGGGTCGATTTCCGAGTACTTTGCAGACCAAAATCTCTCAGTTTGCATCGCGAGATTTTCTTGCAAAACTAACAAAGGAAATAATTTACAAGGCATTTGAGACGGGATGTCTTTGCAATAAATTTCCCAGAATTTATTCAGAGTGTCACGTCTGTGATTGAGTTTCCCCTGTTAAACAGATGGACATTTTCGCCAGAAGTGATGTAGAGATCGCAACGTGCTCTTTAATAGTTCCTTCCTTTTAAACTTTACCGTCAAGTTCAAAAGCCCCTGCAAAATCAGCAAAGTTTGCGATCTTGTTGCAATTTTGTCACCATTTAGACCAAATCTTCCTCTTTATTAGGAAATTTAAAGTCGCACCTCGTACTGGTTTGTGAGTTACGAATTTTTGTTTAACTGCTCTTAAAGTTAAGTGGTTTTTTGACTTTCACCTCTAGGGACTTTTAAACCTTCTGAAAAATCAGTTGAGGTTCGGATTTTAGCTGAATTGGCTATTTTGGTGCCAAAATTTCAATTTTCGTCTCTGGCTGGTTTGGGAGTTATGAGTTTTTTCTTAACTGCACTTCCTCAGATAGCACAAAATATTACATACATATTTAGGAAATATTTATATGTTTGCTAAATATTTCAGATCAAAAGCAGATATTTCTTAAATATTATTTTTTAAATATTTGTTCCTAATATTTAATTAGCATGAAACAAATAAGTTATTAATAATTTTCTTATTACATAATACTTTTTGTACCTATATATAACAACCTTAGCACCCAAAAAGTTACTAATATATTATTTTTAATAAATGTGAACAATCTTTAGAACATATTATCTGAATTTTCATTGATCAATGAATAGCAAATATTTCAGACAAAAAGAAATATTTTTCAAATATTATTTAAATGTTATTTAGAAAATATTTGTTTCTAATATTTAATTAGCATAAAATAAATAAAATAATAATAGATTTTCTTAGTACGTAATACTTTTTGTGTTTATATATAACACCACTAACACGCAAAAAGATTACTAATATCTTATTTTAATAAGTGGGAACAAACTTTAGAACATAATATTTCAATTTTCATTGGTCACTGAATAGAAAATATTTCAGAGCAAAAGAAAATATTTTTTAAATATTATTTAAATGTTATTTCAAAAATATTTGTTTCTAATATTTAATTAACATGAAGCACATAAATTAAGAATACTTTTTCATAGTACCAAAACTTTTTGTATTTATATATAACACCATTAACACCCAAAACGAATTTGCATTGGTCAATTAACGGTAAATATTTCAAAGCAAAAAGAAAGATTTCTTTAATATTAGTTAAATGTTATTTATGAATAACCTTTAGAACTTGTGATCTGAGTTTTCATTGATCAGTGAATACAAAATATTTCAGAGCAAAAGAAAATATTTTTTAAATATTGTGTTATGTTATTTCAAAAATATTTGTTTCTAATATTCAATTAACATGAAGCACATAAATTAATAATAATTTTTCGTAGTACCAAAACTTTTCGTATTTATATATAACACCATTAACACCCAAAACGATATTAATATATTATTTTTAATAAGTGTGAACAAACTTTAGAGCATATTATCTCAATTTTCATTGGTCAATTAATGGTAAATATTTAATAGCAAAACGAATTATTTCTTAAATATTATAAAAAAGTATTGGTATTTATATTTAATGTATATCCACGGCATATAGCCATATACCATTTCTCAATGGTAAAAAATAAATTTTGCGTGCCCACAGCAGGAAGCAGCGTATGTAAAAGTTAATTATCTTTTACTGCTAAATCCTGCGACCATTATTAAATGCTGAAGATATGGTGTTTATTGAACCAACACCGCAGGGGCACGTACAAGCAAATTATTTATTAGTTCTAACTTGAATCAAGAGGTTCTTATAATTTCAGCCCCAAGTTCAAAAGCTTCAGAAAAATCATTAGAACTGGTGATTTTATAGAAATTGCCCAAAATTCAGACAAAACCTGCCTCTTAACGGTGCAAAAGTTTCAACTTTCTGCTCCCACTGGTTTGAAAGTTACAATTTTTTGCCAGGATTTCCTGAAATGTATGTTTCCAACTTGAAAAGCTCCTAGACTGAACGCTCGGATCCTAATGAGATTCTGTTCGTCTCTGAACAAAACCTTCCCTTTCCGTTTGATGGCATATAATAGTCCAAGCAACGAGCCATTGGGACAGTTTTTGACTGGACTTTACCTCGCAGCACCTTTTGTTGAGCAAAAAACGTGAAGCCTTGTTTGACGCGTTTTTTTTGGACATAAATATATTTTTAAACAAGGAAGAGTGTGTCTTGACAATTGTTTTCAATTTGTAACAGCTAAGGGGTACTTAAAATATACCTGCGGATAATCTCCCTCCTTGGTCTGATAGTCAAACACATAGAAAAAGGTCTTTGGCCCCTCATCGTCCTGCGCGGGCTGCGACGCTTTCGCACTCAACAAATCGCCGGTTTGCACCAAAGGCGCAACAAACTGCGCATCACTCAACGCGGCCACACACGCATCCCTCGTGTTGATCGGGTGCTGCACGGTACGTTCCCAATCCGTGTACTCATTCACCACCGTAAAGAAAATCTCACTTAGATGGTAGGTGTAGGCGTTCCGCACGTAAGTCCGGATGATCTTGTCTCTGCGTTCTCCCTCGAACCCCGCCTGGATGTCGTTGTTGGAGAACCTCCACAAAGCCTCGCTGGTCACCACGCCGAAGAGCAGATCGTATGGGTTGCTCCCTTTCGGCACCAAAGTGGCTTCGCTGCGCTTCATGTTGGCGTTCATCGAGCCCACAAAACTCTGCAGGTCTTGCGGCTTGAAGTAGGTTACGAGTTCTTTGGCAAAGTCCGCTTTGATCACCACACCTGCAAGTTGATGTTGAAGCGGAGGAGTTGAAGACGGTTCAGTCGGCTTACCGTCGACGCTCGGCCCAAAAGCGCTAAGATATGCAGGAGGAGTGACTTCGGCTTCTAGAAGCTCCTCCAGGGAGGTTTCGCGTAGGCAGTCGACGATCTGCTCGTGGTCTTTGCCCACGTCTTCCGGGATGGAGCAGTTCACTTCTCTTGCTAGTTTTACTGCATAGTTGACAGGATCCTCCACCTGAAATGCCACAGAAGTCTCAGCACACAAACTTGGTTCTTGATATTGTTTTAAACTGGATGGTTAATCTGAGGAAATTATTCACTCTGGGCCCTCCCCCTAACGTGTTGCTAAATAACTTAACTGCCAGTTTGCCCAACAAATTGAAAGCCTACAATAACCCCAAGTTAAATGAATTTCCTTTTGAATTATTTACAGGAACGGTCTTTGATGTGGATTTCCTTAGCTTTTGCCGGCAGAGCTTTGCGTATATCTTCCAATAAAATATTCAGGCTTTGAACCGGGATCGAGATTTTCGTAAACTGTCACGCTAAATGGTAATAAGCTGGGAGCCGATAGCTTTGATGACTTGACAAAATTGAGCGAGAAGTTATTAAAAGGGAACCTGTTCTTTGGAGTATCCACCATTTCCCCCCATGGGATGTTTCAAAGGAGTCCATTTTTCCATTAAATTGTGTTAAATTAGTGCCAAAAGCCCATGCTGGTCCCAATCAAGTGATTCATGCCCACGGCCCTACTAAGGCAGGTTTTAAAATTTAAACAAAGCGCCATCAGCTGCTGGCCAAACAGCATCCAATTCTCACTTTTATTTGCGGCAATTTCGCGCAACATTAATATTTCCCGTCGTAAAAAACATCGTCTTGCCAACGTTTTATTAGCTCTGTCGCTATAAAACCTCAACTATACGCCGTGTCGTCAAAAGATATGATTGAAAGCACTAGGCTTACTATAAATATCGAGGTTGGAGGAATCGTTGCTAAAGCATAGCCTGTGGAAGGGTATTAAAAGTATTGGGTATTCGGGCTTGGGATCAGTCGAGAGGAAAACAGGATTTTGCGATGGCGAAATAAAAAGCCTCTTTTAGCAGATACCGAGAAGATGGAAAATAATGGAACCTTACCAGCGCCCACGATGATAAAGCTGATCCAGACAGCAGCAGAGCGCGATGGAAGAGGCCAGGCATCACAGTGGGGGAGATCATCAGGAAATTGATGCAGGCTGCCCCTGATCCATGTCCTGCTAGGGTCACATTGTTGGGGTCTCCTCCGAATAGAGCAATGTTCTGCTGGACCCAGTGGAGCGCCGCTATCTGGTCCATAAGCCCGTAGTTGGCCACGCGGGCTTTCAAGTGAGGAGCTGGATTAGCGTTCAAAAAACCTGAAAGCAAATAGGCAGAATTTGAGGAAACCCATCAAAGTGTTTGCTTGAATTCAACTTAGAAGACAGTTCAAACTGAACACTGAGTCATGGACATGAAGGAAAGATCGAACTCCTCTTAAACGAGACGCTCTTAAAACCACATTTAGCAATAAAAAAAGATAGACCTTCGAGGCCATTCCTTGAAACGAATAGGTTTTTCGGGTTTTTGGGACGTCGTTCGGGAGAATTTCTTCTTGACGCTTCGCAAGCACGAGTGCCTTGCATCTTCAGAAGTGGTTTGGGTTAGTTCTCATCAGAACTTCTCTCAGAACTTTCTTCTTCTCATCAGAGCGCGTTCAGTTCTGCGGAAGAACTGCACGGGCTCTGATGAGAAGAAGAAAGTTCTGAGAGAAGTTCTGATGAGAACTAACCCAAACCACTTCTGAAGATGCAAGCCACTCGTGCTTGCGAAGCGTCAAGAAGAAATTCTACCGAACGACGGCCGAAAAACCCGAGAAACCCATTAGTTTCGCATTTATAAATGTTTTTTGGGCTGTGAAGGTCGAGTGAAGGCGGACTTTTCTGATGTTGAGGTCCAAGATTATCGGCTTCGCTTTGGTGGTCTTCCATCTGCTCCTTCTTGGTCTCCAGTTGGTGTTTTGTCCAAGTCATTGCTCCTGCTTGTGCTCCTGTTTCTTCTTCATCTTCATCTGATTTGAACTTGCAATTATTTATATCGGTGGGTGGGCGAATGGTTGGGCCATTGGCGCAACATTTGCATAAAATTCGATACGACTTACCTAATATTCCCAGTCTATAGTTTAATGTAATTACAACTAGATCGGCGTAGGACGCTAAAACGCTTCCATCGTAGGGATTGCCAGAGTTCCACTCGAACGATTCGCCATGTATGTAAACTATCACAGGATGACGAGCTTCGCCTGAAACTAAATGCTATCCATTAGCGTCCACTTCCATCAATTTGGGTATTTGAGGGATTAGGGGGGTTTGAGTCGCAAATCTTCGCCATCCAGTAAATTATCCACCGTCTTTTAACCGTGCATTTCGACAAAAGTTGGCAAAGGAAATAAATAAATCGCGCTCCATCCCAGCTGATGGCACCAAAAATAAACGTTGCACGCTCGTTACCCACCGAATAAATTCATGTTTGTTCGCCCGAGAATAGAAGTGAGTCTTGTTGAAACTCTTAAACAAGAGTAACGTTTCATTTTGACGATTCAGTTGGCTTTGAGCTTTTTGAGCGGCACCTCCGAACTGGAAAACTTCGAATTTATATGGAAATTTCAAATCAATCGTCCGACCGACCGGTTGCTCTTCCATTTCCGGGTCGGCGTTCGCCCGGCTTCCGGTTCACAGCGGATTTCAATAGTGGAGATTAAAATGGAAAGAAATGGACGGGTTTTTCCACCGCTATTTCGGCCTGTTTGCTGATGGATAATGGCCCAATGCCGAATACCTCGACAAGTTTTTAAATGGAAAAGTGAAACTAATCGTTCATGCGGAAGGTTTTTTTGCTTGGTGGGCCAGTAGGTTTGGAGGGACTGTGCAAGGCCGTACAATCAATCAATCATGGATGGAATAAATTTTTAGAAAATGAGCAAACATTCGATAAAAATCGTATTCAACCAAAACAAGTTCGAAGTGAAGTGAGAGATTCTGGAGTCTCAACCAACCAAACAACCGGGAAGTTGGAAGGTGGCTTTCAGAGCACCTCAACTGTTGAGCTCAATTATTCCTCAAGTGTTAAGAAGCTGTTAAACCACATTTGCTGCATAAAGAATTTGAACTCTGGCAAGAAACCTATAATTTCCGTGCCTTCATCTGCATTTAAATGTCTATAGTAGAAAATGTCCAAGACTTTGTGGTCGCAGAATCAGATAACGATCGAACTGGTAAACCCCGAGTTGAAAATAATGAAAGAGTAAAATAAAAGGTGAATCCATTGAAAACTTCCAGACGAATTTCCTTAATTGAAGAGTGAAGGCGTTCTGGACAATCAAGCAGGAAGGCTGCCATAAATTAAGATGGAAACTAGCTGGTGTCATCACCATCGAGCTGACGATATCGCCGTAATGGTCGATCCAGAAACTATGATCCAGAATTTATGAAGCAAACGTTGCATTCCTCGTAATGGGCTTATTTGCCAATTGAACTGTATCTAACTTCGGGTATCTTACTGACAGAAACTATTAATTACGCAAGTTGGAAAGCGGCATGGCGCCAGATGAATTAATTTTACTGCCTGGAAGTGGGAGCTGTAGGTTCGGCCTCATTCAGCCCTTTACGGTGAATCTACCTTATTATCACTTCCAATAAAGGGCGAGTGGTAATTAGTGTCTTCCCGATTTATTTCGTATTAAGTCGGCATCGATTCCCCTTTTCCTGAACTCCCTACAGTGCAATTTGCCAAACTTTTCCACGTTTGCTCACTTTTTTTGAATAATTGTGTACCTAACTTTAAAAACGTTTTTGCTTCCACATTTGCCTAATTTTAATACTTGCTTTGATGAAAAGGAAAATACTGTTTAAGGTTTGGTGGACAGCCGCAAAAAACTTCTTTACTCGTTCACATATTTTCTAGTTTTCCCCTCTGTTTGCGCCCGCTGCTGATTTTGGCCTCATACATTCTCTTTTTGCATGCTTGAAGTATGTTTTTAATTTTGTGTTCGCCTGCAAGAATTTCCCTTTAGCTTCCGTCGGCTGTTAAAATTTCTTGATTATTATTTGCTGTTATCGTGGCGTTTTCATCTGATTTTCAAGTCTCGCTCTAACTAATGCAGAGCGCTCTGTAAGCTAATTTTGATTTTAATTTAGACTTGCTTTCAGCTGTTGCCCTTCATTTTTGTTTGCTCACGTTGTTTCCAATATTTTCCCGTTCTGTATTAGAATCAAGTCAGTTTTTCGGTAGTTTTAAAATTGCTGCGCTGTTTTTCAATATTTCATAAGATTCCATTAAGCCGAATGTCAATAAGCGAACTCACCATGAGTGTGCACACACATACAGCGAATGTAGTGAACAAAAAAGGAATAATCAGCATTCATTTAGTCGCCCTAATGATCTGGAAGCAAATCCCTCATATTGGAATCCAGTTTTGTATGATTTCGCGTTTTTTGCTTTTACTGAACACGCATAATTCTCCCCTTTCAGTTCCCCATTTGCTGCAAACTCTCAGATTAAGCTAGTCATTAAACCTGCGTTTTAGAAGCAACATTTTTAGATGTTGAAATTTAAAAAAGTTGACAAATTTATTATTCAGCAGAATCAGGAAAAAAAGCTGTGCCGAATTGAAAGGAAACATCACAGCGCCGAAATTCGGCAATGAATATTCACCGCGTTATAAAACTTCATTTACCTTCCCGGAAGGTTTTCAATTAGTATGCAAAATTTAATTATCAGAAGCAGATCGCCCTTTTCCCTATCGTTATCCTCTTCGTTATTTTTTTCAACAGAACTTAATGGATACTTAAAATGCCGAAAGGGCCCTGAAAGAAGAAGGACGCTGTCTTGGTACTCTCAGCATCAATTATGTTAATTTTAAGAAAACATCTCTTGATTATAACCGAGGGTTAAAGTTCGGAATTGATCACTGTCTTAAAATTGTCCACGTGGCCAAAAGCTTTGAGACATTTGACTCTTCCCGGTGCAGAAACTTTGCAAAACCGGATTTTCAGTTCGATCCTGGCCCGTTTTTGTCATTCGGTGCAATTTCAGGTAAACGCGCAGAGGCAAATAATTGAATTATAAAATCCATTAATCCCAAACAAACGCATTAGAACCGCGACAAAATGTTGCTAGCTGTATTTGACTAGTTTTGAGTAAGCTGGCAATTCAATTTTGATTAATTTATACGCATAAATTGAAATTAATCGCCATTTAAACCAGGAACACGCGTTTGAAAGGAAAAATATTCTGTAAAACAGTAACTAACACTGAGTGTCTCCATGAACCCAAACCTTAAAGAATTTATCAAAAGAGATCTAACTAAAACTAATCGGTTTTTAGCCCGTCGTTCGGTAGAATCGAGTGGCTTGCATCTTCAGAAGTGGTTTGGGTTCGTTCTCATCAGAACTGCTCTCAGAACTTTCTTCTTCTCATCAGAGCCCGTTCAGTTCTGCGGAAGAACTGAACGGGCTCTGATGAGAAGAAGAAAGTTCTGAGAGAAGTTCTGATGAGAACTAACCCAAACCACTTCTGAAGATGCAAGCCACTCGTGCTTGCGAAACGTCAAGAAGAAATTCTAAATTCCCGAAAACCCCATCAGCTTCTTAAAGGATGTATTTGAAGGAGTGGATCCAAAGCTCATTTGCGCCACTTCTAAAGGCTCTAACTCCCATCTGGACACCCAGTATGAAAAAATCAACTACATAGAGTTGAACGTGGATGTTAAAAAGTTATTTACAAAGTCCAGATGCTTGAAATGTAACTTGCTCTAAAAGCAAATAGCAAACGTGGGCGGATATAACATGCCATTTCCCATAACTCAGCTGAAATTGTCCTGAGGAAGGAAAATCGTCCACATTTGGAATAGCCAACAATGTTTAACTGTCCGCTGAACTGCTGCACTTCGTTCATTGAACGACACTTCATTATAACGGAAAATTCCCCAGAGTAATAACTCATATGGACAATTTATTCCATTCGATCTCCGAAACTCAATCAAAACATGCAATTGGACGCGAATGAAATGCAAGTGCTGGATAATCAAAATGTTATTAGCGGCTTCAGGTTTGCCTATAGCAAAATAAAATTAATTGGATTCGAATTAGCTAATTGAGGCTTAAATAAATAATGGATGAATTTGCGTTTGATTGGGTTAAGTTGCTGCATCTCGAGTCTCTGATGTTTAAGTTTTTATGTGGAAATTGTTGAAGAAGACTCAAGAATGTTTGCTCCTTTGAAGTTGACTGAAAGCTTGCGACGTTAAGTTCTAAAAGACGTAGCTTAATTCTTTTATTGCCAATACCGAAAAGTTGATAACTCCTGAAAAAGAAGCAAACACCAATGCTTTTTGCTCAAACATGTAGGTTGACTTTCAAATAGTTCCGCAACTCCTACCTGCCCTAGCCAGTGTTTGCGGGCAAGTTTAATCAGGTCAACCTAGCCATTATTAACCTTGTCCTGTTTTGCCCTAGCTTTCCCCCCGATTTATAATTCTCGGGCTTCAAAAGCGACGTATTTACCGCGGCTTAAGCTAATTTACTCAGCATAGTTTTCCTCTTCTGAACCGCGACGGTTTCAACATGAAATGTGCGAAAAACTATGATATTTTTGCTTGCAATCTAAACCTGAACCGGCGCTTTGAAATCGTCCAAATTGTCGCTCGGATTTACTATTGTCCCAATCGGAATGTTTCCGCAGTTCACTGACCATCCAAAACATATTGATTAAATCCGTGTTGAAAATTGCATCTGCATTCGATTTATTGCCAGTTTGTTTGTACTGCTTTATCGGCTGAAAATATAAAATTGAAAATTCCATAGTTCATTGAGTCATCCACTGTTTTTTATGTAGAACTTGCACAATTTATAAACGCGATTTTTACCCCTTTTTCTCTGTAAATAATCGGGAGTAATAGATTGTTTTATGCAATTCTGTGTAAGCGCATAGACGGAAATTTTGGCTTTATTGGCGATCGATGGAGCTTTTGAACCCTCCACCAACTGTGAAGAAGTTTTTGGGTTTTCTTGATTTGTGAGCAAAATTTTATAATGTTGGAAGGAAAACAACATTTTTCTTGAAATCTCCTCGACTTTCTTCTGAAGTTTGGCTTCATAGCTGAACATACAACTGCAGGTTTTTAGGTTATAACTGCTTAAATGAGTCCGTTCACCACATATGTACAAAAACCTATTTAAAACCAGGTAGGTAAACAAATCTCGAGTACTTAATTAAGGTAATTTTACCTCAAGTTACGTGCAATTCCTT